CCCCCCACTCGTTGCCCCCCCCCCTCCCCTGTGCCAGCCCCCCCGTTCCCCCCCCCTCGTGCCCAGCCCCCGATTCCCCGCCTGCTGTCACGGGGGGGGGACCCCGGGGGGGGGGCGGGGGGGGGGCCCTGCCATTTATCCCGGCACTAAGAGCATTAGCGCCCGGCGCAGCCGGACAGGCGGCGGCAGGAGGGTAACGGGGGGGGGGAGGTGGGACGGGACCCCCGCGACCCCATAGGGGACCCCCCCCACCCCATACAGGAGCCCCCACCCCAATATGGGGACAGGGACCCCAGCGTGGGGATGGATTCCCCCCCCCATGTGGGTTTGGGGACCACCCCCCGGGTTTGGAGACCCCCCCCCATGGGGTTGGAGACCCCCCCTGAGTTTGGGGACCCCCTGGCACAGGGCCGGGACCCCCGGGACCCCCCCCCCATGGGGCCAGGAGCCCCGGGATGCTGCCGGGTCTTTTTGGGGGCACCCCCCCCCGTCCCCATCCCTTTCCGATCCCTGGGGTCTGGGGAGGTTCCCTGGGTTTAGAACGGTCCCATCAGGTTTTAGGGTCCCCTCGGTTTGGGTCCCCTCCTGGTTTTAGGGTCCCCTCTGTAGGGTCCCCTGTGTTTTGGGAATTTCCCCTGTGTTTTGAGGTCCCTCCCTTGGGATTTGTATGTTTCCCCTTGGGTTTTGGGCCCCCCCCGGTTTTAGGGTCCCTCCTGTGTTTTAGGGTCCCCCCTGTGTTTTGGGGGTTTCTCCTTGGTTTTGGGGTCCCCCCCAGGTTTGGGAGTCTCCTTTGGGTTTTAGGGTCCCCCACTGGTTTTGTGTGTTTCCCCTTGTTTTTTGGGATCCCCCCTGTGTTTTAGGATCCCCCCATGTTTGGGTCCCCCCTCCTTGGGTTTTCATGTCCCCCCTGTGTTTTAGGGTCCCCCTGGGTTTTGGGGATTTCTCCTTGGTTTTAGGGTCCCCGCTCCGGGTTTCAGGATTTACCCCGGGTTTTGGGTTCCCCCCCCCTTGTGTTTTAGGGCTCGGCCATGCTGTCCCCCACGGACTACGACAGCCTGGAGATCCAGCAGCAGTACAGCGACGTCAACAACCGCTGGGACGACGGCGACGACTGGGAGCATGAGGGCAGCTCCGCGCGGCGCTTCGAGCGCTCCCGCATCAAGGCCCTGGCCGGTACGGGGCGGGGGGGCAGGGGGTGCACACGCGTGTGTAAGGGTGGCTGTGTGCATTGGTGTGTGTGGGGATGGGGGTGGTGGGTGAGGGGCTGGGTGCGGAAATGGGAGCGGGGGGGGTGAGTGTGCGAGGGAGGGGTGTGAGTGTGCAAAGGGACGTGTGTGCAAAGGGACGTGCGTGCGAAGGGACGTGTGTGTGAAGGGAGGCATGTGTGTGTGTAAGGGGATGAGTGTGCAAAGGGATGTGTGAGTGTGCAAGGGGAGGCGTGTGCATGTGCAAAGGGACACATGTGCAAAGAGATGTGTGAGTGTGCAAAGGGAGGCATGTGTGTGTGCAGAGGGATGTGTGTGAGTGTGCAAAGGGATGCACATGAAAGGAGATGCATGTGCGTGTGCAAAGGGATGCGTGTGCAAAGGGATGCATGGCACCAGCATGGCTGCTCGCACGCGTGTACCATTTGCAGGTGTGCACGCACCGGAGTGTGCAAACACGTGTGTGCAGAGAGGGCTGCGTGGGGGTAGGCGTGCACGTGGGGTCGTAGGGATAGGTGTGCAAACGGGTGTGTGCGCGTATGGATAGATGCGTGTGTGTGCACACAGATTAGTGCACGTGCAAACAGACTCATGAGTGTGCAACGTGCACGTGCACCCAGACTCGTGCAAGCAGACGTGCAAGTGCAAACAGACTCATGCTTGTGCACTGTGCACGTGCACAGACTCGTGCACATAGACATGCGTGTGCACACCGACGTGCGTGTGCAGGCAGACGTGCACTTGGATTCGTGAGCGTGCCAAGAGCCGTGCGCGTGCATGGGCGTGCACACTCACCTATCCACGTGCAAACGGGCTCGTGCGCGCGTGCACACGCTCGTGTGCAACCGGGCTCACCCCCAGGTGTCCCTGTGCACCCCCACGTGTCCCCGTGCACACTCACGTCCCCGTGCCCGCCCCGCGCACGCCGTGGCCCCGCCGCCGCCCGACTGCTCCTGGGCCGAGCCCGGCGCCGCGCTGCTGCCTCTGCCCCCCCCCCGCCGCCACCCCCCCCACCCTGTGCCCCCCCCCTCCCCAAATTTTCATACCCCCCCCCCCCCCACCATGGCCGCACGCCCCCCCGGCAGCCCGGCCCCCCCCCCCGGCGGCGTCCTGGAGGGGCGCTTCAAGCAGCTGCAAGGTGAGACCTGGGGGGGGGGGACACGGTGGGGGCCCCCCCCATTCCCAGGACCCCCCCTCCATTCCCCTGCCCCCCCCCATTTCCCCAGGACCCCCCCTTTCTCCCCAACCCCCCCCAAAAGTCCCCAGAGCACCCCGCACCTCCCCGATCCCCCCCCTTTTCCCCTCCGTGCCCCCCCCATCCCCTCCGTGCCCCCCTCGCCCCACTTCACGCCCCCCCCCCGGCCCCACAGCCTCAATTCCCCCCCCCCCAGACACTAAAAATCCTCCTGCCCCCCCGCAGACCCCAAACCCCCCCTAATTCCTCCCCCCCTACACCTCACCTGCGCCCTCCCCTCTCCCCGTCACCCTTCAGAAACCTCGTGGGGGGGCTCCCACAGCCCCCCCCCACCCCGTGCCCCCCCCCCAGACCCTGTGGGGCCGTCGGGTTCCCACGGGCGGCCCCGAAACCGCCCCCCCCCCCCGCCCCCGGACCCCGAAACCGGCACACCCAGACCTGGGGTGACGCCCGCTGCCCCCGGCACTTTTTGGGGCGGGGGGGGCAAGCCCTTTTTTATTTTGGGGGGGTGGGGAAACCCTTTCGGGGAGGGGCAGGCCCTTTTTGGGGTCGCCGTGTGTTTTTTTTCGGGGGCCATGCGTTTTTTTGGGGGGGCGGCTGCAGCCCCCCCCCCCCAGCCCCAGCTCCTGGCTCTTGTTTTGGCCTCGGGGCCGAGCAAAGAGCTGGGGGGGGGTGAGGGGGGTGGGGGGGGTTGTGCCCTCCCCCCCCGTTCAAAAACAAGGCCCTGCCCCCCCCCCCCCACCCCCCCGGGGGGGGCACACGCGTGTGCGCCGTGCTCACGCTCGCGTGCCCGTGGTTGTGCACCCGGCGCTTGCAGCCCCCCCAAACCCTCCTAAATCCCCCCCCAGCCCCAAAATTCCCCCCCACACCCCCAAATCCGCCCCCAGCCCCAAAATTCCCCCCCCACAACCCCCAAATCCCCCCCCCAGCCCAAACCCCCCACACCCCACCCCCCCCCCCGAGCCCCCCACAGCCCGGCCCCAAATCCTCTTACTGCTAATCCGGGGCTGGTGCCGGGCACGAGCGGCTCCCAAGCGCCCTCCTTGGGCTTGGGGGGGGTCCCACCAAACTGGGGGGGGGGCAAAATTTTAAGGGGGGGGGCACAACCGCCCCCCACCCCCTTTGGGGCTGAGTTTAGGGTTCGGATTAGGTTAGGGTTAGGATTAGGGTTAGGATTAGCATCTCCAGGTGCTCTCCCAGCGCTGCGCCGTGCCGTTTACCCCCAAAATTTGAGGTTCTGCTGCCCCCCACCCCAAATTTTTTTCCCGGGGGGGGTCTCACGGTGCTGTGCCCCCCCCGATAGACGAACGGGAGGCGGTGCAGAAGAAAACCTTCACCAAGTGGGTGAACTCGCACCTGGCGCGGGGCACCTGCCGCCTGGGGGACCTGTACAGCGACCTGCGGGACGGCCGCATGCTGCTGCGCCTGCTCGAGGTGCTCTCGGGGGAGCAGCTGGTGAGTGGGGGGCCTTTTGGGGTGGGGGGGGGGGGCGCACGGCTGGGAGACCCCTCCCCAAAATCGCTGGACCCAGGGGGTCCGTCGCTGGGTGTCCTCTTCCCACTGGTGTCCCCATCCCTGTTCCCCTGGGGTCCCTTTCCCAATGGGGTCTCTGTCTCCATGGGGTCCCCGTCCCTGCCTCCATGGGGTCCCCACAGTCCCCTCCATGGTCCCCATCCCTGTCCCCAGGTCCCCTCCTGGTGTCCCCCTGTGTCCCCTTCCCCAGGGTGTCCCCATCCCCTTGTGTCCCCTTTGTGTCCCCATCCCTGTCCCCCTGGTGTCCCCTTCCCCATGGGGTCCCTGTCCCCTGTCACCTGGGTCCCAGGGTCCCCCATCCCCTTCCCCACAACCCTGGTTCCCCCACCCCCAGCCCTCCCCTTCTTCCCCCGCCCCCCTACACCCCCCCACCCGCCCCCACCCCAATTTAACGCCCCCCCTCCCCTCCCCGGGGCCCAGCCCAAGCCCACCAAGGGCCGGATGCGGATCCACTGCCTGGAGAACGTGGACAAGGCGCTGCAGTTCCTCAAGGAGCAGCGCGTGCACCTGGAGAACGTGGGCTCGCACGACATCGTGGACGGCAACCACCGCCTGACCCTGGGCCTGGTCTGGACCATCATCCTGCGCTTCCAGGTCATTTTCGGGGGTCGTCTCGGGGGTCCCGGGGTTGGGCGGGGGTCTCCTCACCGCGCGTGGCCCCCCCAACAGATCCAGGACATCAGCGTGGAGACGGAGGACAACAAGGAGAAGAAGTCGGCCAAGGACGCGCTGCTGCTGTGGTGCCAGATGAAGACAGCGGGGTCAGTGCCCTGGGGGGGCCCAAAAGGGGTCCTGGGGGGGTCCTGAGGGTCTTGGGGGGGTTCTGGGGGGGTCCTGGGCTGAGTTTTCCCCCCCGCAGGTACCAGAACGTGAACGTGCACAACTTCACCACCAGCTGGCGGGACGGGCTGGCCTTCAACGCCATCATCCACAAGCACAGGTGGGGCACATGGAGACGTCCCCGGGGGGCAGGGGGATTTGGGGACGTGTTGGGGCAGGGATTTGGGGTGGGGGACGCGGGGCAGGGACGCGGGTCCGAGGCTGTGCCGCTGCCCAGGCCGGACCTGGTGGACATGGAGGCGCTGCGGCGCTGCAACGCGCACTACAACCTGCAGAGCGCCTTCAACCTGGCCGAGCGCGAGCTGGGCCTCACCAAGCTGCTGGATCCCGAAGGTGAGCGGGGTCCCGGGGGGTCCGGGGGGTCCCAAAGGGGTCCGGGGGGGCTGTGGGGTCGTGGGGCCGCCCCACTCAGCCGCCTGCCCCCAGATGTCAACGTGGACCAGCCGGACGAGAAGTCCATCATCACCTACGTGGCCACCTTCTACCACTACTTCTCCAAGATGAAGGCGCTGGCGGTGGAGGGGAAGCGCATCGGGAAGGTGCCTGGACGGACGGACGGACAGGGGACAGGCAGATGGACGGACAGACGGACGGGGGGGAGGACAGGGGGGCGAGCAGGAGGCTGAGCGTGGGGGTGGGTGGCTGGGGGGCAGGCGGACAGACAGACAGACGGAGGAGGTGGAGGAATGGAGAAATGAGGGGGGTGGAGGACGGACAGATGGACAAGGGGGGTGGACAGACAGACAGACAGACGGCTGTGGGTGGGGGGAGGAAGGACACACGGGCAGCTCGAGGAAGGGGTGGGGGACGGACGGACAGACGGACAGAAAGGCGAGGGGGGCAGACGGCTGCCGGGATGAGCGGCGGAGAGGCGGCGGGTGGGCAGATGGACGGAGGACGGACGGAGGACAGCGGACAGACAGACGGACAGACAGACGGACAGACGGCCGCCCGCAGGTGCTGGACGCGGCGCTGGAGGCGGAGCAGCTGGTGGAGAAGTACGAGACGCTGGCGGGCGAGCTGCTGGGCTGGATCGAGCAAACCATCCTCACCCTCAACGACCGGCAGCTGGCCAACGCGCTGGCTGGCGTGCAGAACCAGCTGCAGGCCTTCAACACCTACCGCACGGTGGAGAAGCCCCCCAAGTGAGCCCCCCGCTGGGACCCGTGCCCCCCAGGTGGCCGTGGACCCCTCCCCGGGGGGCTGAGCGCCGCCTCTGTGCCCCCCCAGGTTCATGGAGAAGGGCAACCTGGAGGTGCTGCTCTTCACCATCCAGAGCCGCATGCGCGCCAACAACCAGAAGGTGTTGTGCCGCGCGAGGGGAAGCTCATCTCCGACATCAACAAGGTTTGGCGAGGAGGGGGCGCCGCCGCCGTGCCTGGGGGGGGGAGAATGACCCCGTGTCCATCCCCGCAGGCCTGGGAGCGCCTGGAGAAAGCGGAGCACGAGCGGGAGCTGGCGCTGCGCACCGAGCTGATCCGGCAGGAGAAGCTGGAGCAGCTGGCGGCTCGCTTCGACCGCAAGGCGGCCATGAGGGAGACGTGGCTGAGCGAGAACCAGCGCCTCGTCTCCCAGGTGCCCCCACCTCCCTGCCCCTCCGCCACCCCCCCACCACGTCCCTGAGTCCCACAGCCCGTCCTCACCCCCTCTCCGTCCCCTCCAGGACAATTTCGGCAGCGACATGTCGGCGGTGGAGGCGGCGGTGCGCAAGCACGAGGCCATCGAGACCGACATCGTGGCCTACAGCGAGCGGGTGCAGGCGGTGAGCGCGGTGGCGGCCGAGCTGGAGGCCGAGCGTTACCACGACCTGCGCCGCGTCCTGGCGCGCCGCAACAACGTGGCGCGGCTCTGGGACTTCCTGCGGCAGCTGGTGGCCGCCCGCCGCGAGCGGCTGCTGCTGCACCTCGAGCTGCAGAAGATGCTGCAGGACCTGGCGCACCTGGCGGGGTGGATGGAGGAGATGAAGGTACCGGGGGGGGGGGCTTCGGGTGTTGGGTGGGTGGCGGCCTCCCTGTGGTGTTTTTGACCCCCTCCTGCCCCGCAGGGCCGGCTGCAGTCGCAGGATTTCGGGAAGCACCTGCACGGGGTGGACGACCTGCTGCAGATCCACGCGCTGGTGGAGGCCGACATCGCGGCGCAGGCTGAGCGGGTGCGGGCGGTGAGCGCCGCGGCCAGCGCTTTGCCCTGCCCGGAGAGGGTGAGTGCGGCCCCCCAGGACCCCCGAGACTCCCGGCCGGAGCCCCAGGGGAGCAGGGAGCTGACGGGACCACCCCCAGGATACAAACCCTGCGAGCCGGAGGTGGTGCGGGAGCGCGTGGCCACGCTGGAGCTGCGGTACCGGGAGCTGGTGGAGCTGGCGGGGCAGCGCCGGGCCAAGCTGGAGGAATCGCGGCGCTTCTGGAAGTTCTTCTGGGACACCGGGGAGGAGGAGGCCTGGATGCGGGAGCAGGAGCGGCTCCTCTCCTCCGAGGACGTGGGCCGGGACCTCACCAGCTCCCTGCGGCTGCTGAGCCAGCACGCGGCCTTCCGCGACGAGCTGAGCGGGCGCGCGGGGCCCCTGCAGCAGGCGCTGGCGCGGGGCCGGGGGCTGGCGGGCGAGGGGCACCCGCGGGCGGGCGAGGTGGGCGAGCGGGTGCGGGAGGTGGAGGGGCGCTGGCGGGCGCTGGGCGAGCTGGCGGCCGAGCGCGAGCGGCGCCTGCGGGACGCCGCCGGCCTCTTCCAGTTCCAGGCGGAGGCGGCCGACGTGGAGGCCTGGCTGGAGGACGCCCTGCGCCTGGCCTCCAGCCCCGAGCTGGGCCACGACGAGTACTCCACGCGCAGCCTGGCCCGGCAGCACCGCGAGGTGCAGGAGGAGGTGCGCAGCCACCTCCCGGCCATCGCTGCCCTCCACGAGCAAGCCGGGGCCCTGCCGCCCGCCTTTGCCGGCGCTCCCGGTGTCGCCGGGCGGCTGCCGGCGCTGGAGCGGCGCTACCAGGAGCTGGCGGCGCAGACGGAGCGGCGGCGGCAGGAGCTGCAGGACGCCCTCAGCCTCTACACCATGCGCAGCGAGGCGGACGCCTGCGGGCTCTGGGTGGGCGAGAAGGAGCAGTGGCTGCACGCCCTGCTCGTCCCCGACAAGCTGGAGGACCTGGAGGTGGTGCAGCAGCGGTGAGCGCGGCCCCTGTGCCCCCCAGAGCCTCCCCCCTGTCCTCCCCGGGGCCACCAGGCCCTCACCTCGTTCATTGTCGTCGCCCCCCAAGGTTCGAGACGCTGGAGCCGGAGATGAACAACCTGGCGTCCCGCGTCGCCGCCGTCAACCGCATCGCCGACCAGCTGCTGGCCACCGACCAGCGCAACCAGGAGAGCATCCGCGCCACCCGCGAGCAGCTCAACGCCAGGTTCGGGCATCCGGGGGGGTCCCAGGGTGTAGGCGGGGGGATCCGGGGGGGCTCGGCCGTCCCCTGAGCCCTCTGCCGTGCAGGTGGGAGCGGTTCCGCGCGCTGGCCGACCAGAAGAAGGAGGCGCTGACCTCGGCGCTGAACATCCAGAATTACCACCTGGAGTGCAACGAGACCACCTCGTGGATGCGGGAGAAGACGAAGGTGATCGAGTCGACGCAGGGGCTGGGCAACGACCTGGCGGGGGTGATGGCCCTGCAGCGCAAGCTGTCGGGCATGGAGCGCGACCTGGAAGCCATCGAGGGCAAGGTGCGGGACCTGCGGGCCGAGGCGGAGAAGCTGGCGGCCGAGCACCCGGAGCAGGCGCCCGGCATCCTGGAGCGGCTGGCGGCCATCGAGGCGGTGTGGGCCGAGCTGTGCCGCTGCCTGCGGCGGCGCGAGGAGTCGCTGGGGGAGGCCAGCAAGCTGCAGGGCTTCCTGCGGGACCTGGCCGCCTTCCAGGCCTGGCTGGCCCGCACCCAGACGGCCGTGGCCTCCGAGGACGTGCCGGCCACCCTGGCCGAGGCCGAGCGGCTGCTGAGCCAGCACGAGAGCATCCGCAAGGAGATCGCCCACTACGGCGACGATTACCGCAGCACGCGGGCGGTGGGCCGCCAGGTGACGCAGGGACAGACGGACGCGCAGCACGTCTTCCTGCACCAGCGCCTGGAGGCCCTGGACACGGGCTGGGAGGAGCTGGGGCGCATGTGGGAGAACCGCCACCAGCTCCTCTCCCAAGCCTTCGCCTTCCAGCTCTTCCTCCGCGACTCCAAGCAGGTGGAGGGCGTCCTCAGCACCCAGGTGAGCTGGGGGGAGGTGGTGGCGGTGGTGGTGGCGGTGCCGGGGAGCTGCGGTGACGCCCGGTGTCCCGTGCAGGAGTACGCCCTGTCGCACAGCGAGATGCCCAGCACGCTGCAGGGCGCTGAGGCCTCCGTCAAGAAGCACGAGGACTTCATGGCCACCATGGAGGCCAGCGGCGAGCGCGTGCAGGGGCTGGTGGCCGCTGGCCGCAAGCTGGTGGCCGAGGGCAGCCCACACGCCGACAAGGTGCAGGAGACGGTGGACTCGGTGGAGAGCAGGTGAGGGACCCCCCAAGGGCCGGTGCTGGGTGCTGGGTGCTGGGAGCCCCCCGGTCCTCACCACGGCCCCGCTGCAGGCACAAGAAGAACCGGGAGGCAGCCCAGGAGCTGCTGGGGAGGCTGCGGGACAACTGGGAGCTGCAGCGGTTCCTGCAGGACGGGCAGGAGGTGAGCACGGGGTGGGGATGGGACGGGGATGGGGATGAGGTTGGGATGGGATGGGATGGGATGGGATGGGATGGGATGGGATGGGATGGGTGGGATGGGATGGGTGCAGCACAGCATCACACCCCAACCCCGCTGTCCCCCTCGCAGCTCACGCTCTGGATCAACGAGAAGATGCTGACAGCCCAGGACGTGTCCTACGACGAAGCCCGCAACCTGCACACCAAGTGGCAGAAGCACCAGGCCTTCGCTGCCGAGCTGGCCTCCAACAAGGGCTGGCTGGACAAAATGGGCAAGGTTGGGGCCGGGGGACACCGGGGACGAGGCCGCCCCCGCGCCGCGTCCCCGCTGAGCCCGGCGTCCCCACCAGGAGGGCCAGCAGCTGGCGGCGGCGAAGCCGGAGCTGGGGGCGGTGGTGACGGAGAAGCTGTCGGCGCTGCGGGGGCTGTGGGACGAGCTGGAGACGACGACGCGGACGAAAGCGCGGCGCCTCTTCGATGCCAACCGCGCCGAGCTGTGCGCCCAGTCCTGCGCCGCGCTGCGGGGCTGGCTCGCCGGCGTGCGCGCCCAGCTGCGCTCCGACGACTACGGCAAGGACCTGACCAGCGTCAACATCCTGCTCAACAAGCAGCAGGTCGGCCCCAGGGGGACGGGGAGAAGGGAAATGGGGCTCCGGGGGCACCGGGTTGGGGGTGTGGGGTTTTGGTTTAAGGTTTATAGACCTCCCTGGAGGGCTTTCAAAGCCGTTTGGATGTAGAGCTCAGAGATATGGTTCAGTGGAGGACTGGTTAGGGTTAGTCAGAGGTTGGACTCGGTGATCCTGAGGTCCCTTCCAACCTAGAAATTCTGGGATTCTGTGATTTTGTGATTCTGTTTTGGGCACACGGGTCGGACACACAAAGGACAGGGTAGGGGATGGGTGCACGGATCAGGGCACCCAAAGGACGCGGTGCGAGGCTGCTGGGGCGCCCCGAGGCGCTGCCACTCACCCGCACCCCGCTCAGATGCTGGAGAAGCAGACGGCCGTGCGGGAGAAGGAGGTGGAGGCGATCCGGGCGCAGGCGCAGGCCCTGAGCCGCGAGGACGCCAGCGCGGCCGAGGTGCAGGGCCAGGTGCGCGCCGTGGAGGAGCAGTTCCTGGGGCTGCGCGAGCCCCTCCGCGAGCGCCGCCGCAAGCTGCTGGCCTCCAAGGAGGAGCACCAGTTCAACCGGGACCTGGAGGACGAGATCGTGAGTGGATTTGGGGACGGGGGAAGCCCCACGCCCCCCAGGGGGGTCCCGATGTCACCCTCACCCCTCTTCTGTCCCCGCAGCTGTGGGTGAAGGAGCGCAGACCCCTGGCCGTCTCCACCGACCACGGCAAGGACCTGCCCTCGGTGCAGCTGCTCATCAAGAAGAACCAGGTGGGTCTGGGGGGGCCGGGAGGTGCCACAACGAGCCCCCACCTCGCACTCACATCGCATCGTGTTCCTCCGTCCCCAGACGCTGCAGAAGGAGCTGCAGGGCCACGAGCCGCGAGTGGAGGAGCTGCTGGGGCGCAGGGGGGGGCTGGCGCGCTCGGCCGAGAGGGTGCGGGAGCTGCGGGAGGCCTGGCAGGAGCTGCGGCTGCAGGCGGAGCTGCGGCACCAGCGGCTGGAGCGCGCCCACGCCGCGCAGCAGTTCTACTGCGACGCCGCCGAGGCCGAGGCTTGGATGGGCGAGCAGGAGCTGCACATGATGGCCCAGGAGAAGGCCAAGGTACGGCCCCCGGGGGGGTCCCGTATCCCTCAGCGCCCCCCCAGATCACATCCTGAGCCGTTGTGCCCCCCCCTCCAGGATGAGCTGAGCGCCCAGGCCATGGTGAGCAAGCACCTGGTGCTGGAGCAGGCGCTGCGGGACTACGCGCACACCGTGCACCAGCTCTCCGTGCAGAGCCGCGACATGGTGGCCGCGGGGCACCCCGAGAGGTGGGTGCCGACCCCCACGTCCCCTCTGCCTCCTTCCTTCCTTCCCCTCCCGCCCGGGGGGGCGTCCCCTGGCCCCGTGCAACCCCCCCTGACGCCCGGCGTGCCTGCAGCGAGCGGCTGACGCTGCGCCAGGGCCAGGTGGACAAGCTGTACGCCAGCCTGAAGGACCTGGCGGAGGAGCGGCGCGCCAAGCTGCAGGAGCACCAGCGGCTCTGCCAGCTCAAGCGCGACGTGGACGACCTGGAGCAGTGGATCTCGGAGCGGGAGGTGGTGGCGGCCTCCCACGAGCTGGGCCAGGACTACGAGCACGTCACGGTGCGGCCGCGGGGCTGAGGAGCCTCGCTCTGTGTCCCTGTCCCCCCCGTGTCCCCTGCCAGCGTCCCCGACGCGTCCCCTCACCTCCCCCGCAGATGCTGCGGGACAAATTCCGGGAGTTCTCGCGGGACACCAGCAGCATCGGGCAGGAGCGCGTGGACGGCGTCAACGGGCTGGCGGACGCGCTGATCGCCGCGGGGCACTCGGAGAACGCCACGGTGGCCGAGTGGAAGGACGGGCTGAACGAGGCCTGGGCCGACCTGCTGGAGCTGATCGACACGCGCTCGCAGATGCTGGCGGCCTCCTACGAGCTGCACCGCTTCTACCACGACGCCCGCGAGACCCTGGCGCAGGTGCAGCACAAGCAGAAGCAGCTGCCGGACGAGGTGGGGCGCGACCTGAACACGGCCGAGGCCATGCAGCGCATGCACACCACCTACGAGCACGACATCCAGGCGCTCAGCGCACAGGTGAGCCCGTGGCACAGCGTGGCACGACACGGCACAGCGTGTCACAACATGGCACGGGGTGGCACAGTGTGTCACGACATGGCACGACATGGCACGGCTCAGCACAGGCCTCACCTCTTGTCCCCCAGGTGCGCCAGGTGCAGGAGGACGCGGCGCGGCTGGAGAAGGCGTACGCCGGGGAGAAGGCGGCCGACATCCGGCGGCACGAGCGGGCGGTGAGCGAGGCGTGGGCCGAGCTGCGGGGCAGCAGCCAGGGCCGGCGCCGGCTGCTCCTGGACACCGTGGACAAATTCCGCTTCCTGCGCGCCGTGCGCGACCTCCTGCTCTGGATGGACGGCGTCCGCCTGCAGATCGAGGGCCAGGAGCGCCCGCGGTGAGGGGGCGGCCACGGGAAGGGGGTGCGGGCGGGGGAACGGGGCCGTGGGGGCCGCGGCGGCGGTGCTGAGCCCGGTCCCGGCCCCCGCGGGGTGGCGCAGGGACGTGTCCTCGGCCGACCTGGTCATCAAGAACCACCAGAGCATCAAGGCGGAGGTGGAGGCGCGGGCCGACAGCTTCGACGCCTGCGTGGCCATGGGCACCGCGCTGCTGGACAAGGGGCACTACGCTGCCGACAAGGTGTCCCCAGCCCCGTGTCCGTGTCCCCAGCCCCGTGTCCTTGTCCCTATTCTGTCCCCAGCCCCGTGTCCGTGTCCCCATTCCATCCCATCCCCGTGTCCCCCATTCCTATATCTGTGTCCCCTTCCCCTCATCTGCTCTTGTTCCTATTTTGTCCCCATGCCCCTGTCCCCATCCCCATGTCCCTGTCCCCTCTTCTGGTTTTGTCCCTATTCTGTCCCCGTCCCCGTATCCCCGTCCCTATTTTCCTGCCCCCGCTGGCTCACCGCTCTCCCCCAGATCTCGGAGAAGCTCTCTCAGCTCCAGGAGCGCCGCAGGGACATCGGCGAGCGCTGGAAGGAGAAGATGGACTGGCTGCAGATCGGTGAGCGCCGCACGGCGGGGAGCAGGGGGTGTCCCCACCCCCCTCGTGTCCCCTCGTGTCTCCCAATTTCGAGCCCCTCCATGTCCTTCCTGTAGCGAGGAGCCCAAAAACGCACCCAGTGCTCGAGGTGCAGCCCAGGGGGGGAGGACCCCTTCCCCAACCCCACTCCCTGCACCATGACACCGCCGGCCCCCTCCCCACCACCCACCAGTGCTCCCAGTTCCTCCTCCAGCTCTCCCACCCCCTCTCCCCGTGTCCCCCCCCGCAGTGCTGGAGGTGCTGATGTTCGGGCGCGACGCCAGCATGGCCGAGGCGTGGCTGGCCAGCCAGGAGCCCATCGTGCGCTCGGCCGAGCTGGGGGGCAGCGTGGCCGAGGTGGAAAACCTCATCAAGCGCCACCAGGGCTTCCAAAAAGCGGCCGCCGCCTGGGAGGAGCGCTTCGCCGCCCTCGAGCGCCTCACCACGGTGAGGGGGGGGCGGGGGGGGGCGGCTGGGACCCCCCCGGGTGGGTTTAGGGGGTGCTGACCCCCCCCCGGTCTTGCAGCTGGAGGAGAAGGAGCGGCGGCGGCGCGAGGAGGAGGAGGCGAGGAAGAGGCGGCCGCCAACGCCCCCCCCGCAGCCTGAGGCTGGGGGGGGTCCCGCGGTGCCCCCCGGGACCCAAAATGGGTTGGGGACGGGGGAGGCGCAGAGGTGAGGGGGGGGGGGAGACAGGGATTGGGGGGGGACAGGGAGTTGGGGGGTCGTGGGGGGGTGATGCTGCAAGGTGGGGGTGTTGGGGGGGTTTAATGGGGAGGGGGGGATCTGGGGGGGTTGTGGGATTGGGGGGGGCACCCTGGGGGGGGGGGAACGCAGTACCCATGGGATAAGTTTTTTTTTGGGGGTGGGGGTGGGGTACAGAGGGGACATGGGGTCCAGGGGAAGGAGGGAACACCTGGGGGGGGGGTCCTGGGATGGGGGGGGTCCCATCCCATCCCCCTTACCCCTCCCCCTTGTGCCCCCCCCAGGCCCCCAGCCCTCCAGAGCCGCCTGCCCGAGCCCCCGGCTGTGAACGGGATCTGCCCTGACAGTGCTGCTGCCCCGGTAAAGCCCCCCCCCAAAAAAATCCCCCAACCCCCCAGATTTGGGGGACCCCCACCCAAAAGGACCCACACCCCCCCTTTTTATCCCCCCCCTAGGTGCCAGTGGGGCCGGCGCTCACCAACGGGGCCCGGGAGCGAGGCCCCAGCCCGGGGGGGTCTCCCCGGGGGGGGCGCCCGCGGGGGGGTCCGGCCCCCGACCCTGCCCACGCCGCCACCCTGCCCCCCCGCGCCCCCCCCGCCCCCGAGAGCCTGGAGGGCGGCCTCTGCCGCAAGCACGAGATGGAGGCGCAGGGAAAGAAGGCCCCCAACAGGTAAGGACCCCCCCCCAAAAAAAAAGCCCCCTGTACCCCAAAATCCACCCTGTGCCCCCCCCACATACACAGTGCCCCCCCTTAAGCCCCGTTCCCCCCCCCCATTACACCACCTCCCCCCCAAATCCACCCCATGTACCCCCCCCAAAATCCACCCTGTGCCCCCCCACGTACCCTTTGCCCCCCATCCCCCCCCCCCCACCCCTATTACCCCCCATAACCCCCCCTTTTAACCCCCCTGCCCCCCCCAGGTCGTGGCAGAGCGTGTACTGCGTGCTGCGGGGGGGCAGCCTCAGCTTCTACAAGGACGCCAAGAGCGCCAGCCACGGGGCCCCCCCCTACCACGGGGAGCCCCCCGCCAGCCTGTGGGGCGCCCACTGCCACCCCGCCCTGGACTACAAGAAGCGCAAACACGTCTTCAAATTGGGGTATGGCAGGGGGGGGACATGGGGGGGGGGCATGGGGGGGAGCTAAAGGGGGTTTGTGGGGAGCTGGGGGGGGCAGGACCCCACGCTGAGCCCTCTCTCTTTGCGCCCCCCCCCCCAAGGCTGAGTGATGGCAAGGAGTACCTCTTCCAGGCTAAGGATGAGGTGAGAGGGGGGAAATGGGGGAAAATGGGGTAAAAGGGGGGTAAAAGGGTAAAAATGGGGTAAAAGGGGGTAAAACGGGGTAAAACGGGGTAAAAAGGGGTAAATGGGGGTAAAAAGCGGGTAAAATGGGGGGGTAAAAAGGGTAAAAAGGGGGTAAAACAGGATAAAAAGGGGTAAAATGGAGTAAAAAGGGGTAAAATGGGGGGATAAAATGGGGGGGGGCACACAGGGGTGTAATGGTGCCCCCCTGTGTGCCCCCCCCAGGCGGAGATGAGCACCTGGCTGCGGGTGATCCACGCGGCGGCCGCCCTGGGTCCGGGGGGGCCGCGGGAAACGGGGGGGGCGGCGGTGGTGGCGGGGGGGGGCAAGGGGATGACGAGGGCCATGAGCATGCCCCCCGCACAGCCCCCCGCCCCCACCGAGGGCCCCCCCCCACTGCGGGCCCGCGAGGGGAAGGAGAAGGAGAGGGAGAAACGCTTCAGCTTCTTCAAGAAGAACAAGTAGAGGTGGGGGGGGGGCAAAAATCGAGGGGGGGCCCCCAAATCGAGGGGGGTCCCCAAAATCGAGGGGGGGTGCCCCGAACCGGCCAAGCTGATGGAGGGACGCGGCTGGGGGCAGCACTGGGGGGGGGGGTGTGGGGTTTTCCCCCCCCCCCACCCTGGGGTCCCCACGTGCCCCCGCGTCCCGGTGATGTCCCCACGCTCGAAGCGGCCGCCCCCACCCCCAAATAAAAAGAAAGAGGCCGGAGAGCCCCGGACAGCGGACTGTGATGGGGACGGGGACGGGGTGGGAATGGGGATGGGGATGGGATGGGGATGGGGATGGGGATGGGGATGGGATGGGGATGGGGATGGGGTCGGGTTGGGGAGGACGAGGCCCGACAGAGCCGGGTGTTGGTGGCTGTGGTTGTGCCCCCATCGGATCACCGTGGATCACCCCAGCGCTCCCCCGGCAGGGTCCCCGTGGGTCCCTCTCTTCCCCCACCCCGTTCTGGTGCCCCCCTGGCTGAGCCCCTTCAGCCTCCCCGCCAGATCCCAAAGGATCCCCCCAGATCCCCCCGCGGGGCTCCCAGTGGGCTCCCCCAGATCCCCCCCGTGAGTCACCAGTGGATCCCCCAAATCCCCCTCTAGGGGTCCCAATGGATCCCTCCGGATCCCTCCATCAGCCACCAATGGATCCTTCCAGGCCCCCCCCCCCGGCTCCCAATGGATTTCCCCAGATCCCCCCATCGGGCTCCCAATGGATCCTTCCAGATCCCCCCATCAATCACCAATGGATCCTTCCAACCCCCCCATAGGGCTTCCAATGGATCCTTCCAGCTCCAACACCCCCCGCAGGCTCCCAATGGATCGTTCCAGCCCCCCCCCCCCGGGCTCCCAATGGATCCTTCCAGCGCCCCCGGACTCCCAATGGATCCCCCCAGGTCCCCCCGCAGGCTCCCAATGGATCCTTCCAGCTCCCCCCCCTGCAGTCTCCCAATGGATCGTTCCAGCCCCCCTGGACTCCCAATGGATCCCCCCGATCCCCCCCTCAGCCCCCAATGGATCCTTCCATCCCCCCCTCCCCCCCGCTCCCCATGGTTCCCCCCGCCTCCCCCCGGCGGCCTCCCATTGGACCGCTCCTCTCCCCCTCACCCCACCCCCCGTTTCCGAATGGCCCCTCACTCCCAGCGGGGGCGGGCACATTTCCTGACGGACAACCCCCTCAGCCAATCAGCGGGCGGGGCGCTGCCGGGAGGGGGTGTGGGGGAGGCGCAGCGCGGAGCCGCCGCCATTTTGCGAGCAGCGAGCGGCGAAGGGGGCGCAGGTGGGGGCGGGGCCGGCACCGGGAGGGCACCGGGGGGGGGGCGGGGGGGTACCGGGGGCGGTGGGGGGGCACCGGGGAGTCCCGGGGGTGCCAGGGGGGCACCAGGGGGGGTGGGGGGGTGCCGGGGGGTACCGGAGGGTACCGGGGGAGTGGGGGGGTACCGGGAGGGATGGGGGGGCACCGGGGGGGTGGCGGGGTACCGGGGGGTACCGGGGGCGGTACAGGGAGGGATGGGAGGTGCCAAGGGGTTACCGGGGGCCACCGAGGGGTACTGAGGGGTACCGGAGGGGGTTGGGGGGGTACCGGGGGGGCCCCGGGGGTGTGGGGGGTGCCAGGGTGGCACCGGGGAGGCACCGGGAGGGATGGGGGGGGCACCGAGGGATACCGGGGGGAGCACCGGGAGGTACCGGAGGGGATGGGGGGGGGGTTACCGGGGGGTACCGGGGGATGCCAGGGGGTACCGGGGGGATGGGGGGTGCCAGGGGGTGGTCCCAGGGATGGTCCCGGGGGTGGTCCCGGGGGTGGTCCCGGGGGTGGTCCCGGGGGTGCTGAGCCCGTTGCCCCCGCAGGGCCGGCGCCATGGTGAAGCTGTTCATCGGCAACCTGCCGCGGGAGGCGACGGAGCAGGAGATCCGGGCGCTGTTCGAGCAGTACGGCAAGGTGCTGGAGTGCGACATCGTCAAGAACTACGGCTTCGTGCACATCGAGGACCGCACGGCGGCCGAGGACGCCATCCGCAACCTGCACCACCACAAGCTGCACGGCGTCTGCATCAACGTGGAGGCCAGCAAGAACAAGAGCAAGGCCTCCACCAAGCTGCACGTGGGCAACATCAGCCCGGCCTGCACCAACCTGGAGCTGCGCGCCAAGTTCGAGGAGTATGGCCCCGTCATCGAGTGCGACATCGTCAAGGACTACGCCTTCGTGCACATGGAGCGGGCGGAGGACGCGGTGGAGGCCATCCGGGGGCTGGACAACGCCGAGTTCCAAGGTGGGACGGGGATGGGATGGGGGTGGGCTCCGCCGATGGACCCCGGCTCCGCTGCGTTGACGTCCCTCAGAGCCCGGGCGGTGGAGTTTGGGGACGTGGGGACGGTGCCGGTGGTGCCACGGCCTCCGCTTGGCGAGACCTCGGGTCTGCGGTGGGCTTGAGGCTGCTTTGAGCACCCAAATCCCCCCAGCGGTGCTCCGAGAGCCTCCCGTAGGGCATCAGGCGTCTCCGGGCATCTCCGCTTGAGTTGAGCACGGAAAGATGCATTTTGGGTTTTTTTGTTGGCAGTTTTTGTTGGCATTCCGTGACGTGGCAGGCCTGTTTCTTTCCCGAGGGTCAGTCAGGCAGCAACCCCGTAGGGCCTGGGGCGTTTGGGGTGGGCTGTGGGGGTCCTTCTCCGACCGACCCAATGCAGCCAAGGAGCCCGATGGCGAAGCACCAGTAAGAGGGCAGGCAGAGGCGCTGCCGCGGTGCTGAGCCCCCTTTGTGGCCAAACTTGAGCGCATCCCCGTCGGGCTGGCCCCAAACCCATCCTCAGGGTCATCGGGGACGTGTCCGGGTCATCCCGATGCACCGCCGTCCTGTGCCACACACTGTGGGGCCGGTTCGGTCCCGCCGATCCCCGCCGCTGCCCCCCAAAATTCGCCTTCAGCCAGGGCCGTGCAGCACCGCCCGTTCCCCTGCTCGTGGACGTGGTCCCCGGTTGCTCCCTGCTCAGGCACAGGCCCGCGGCCGCCTCCCCTTTTTGGGGGGCCCCCTCGCTGCCACCATCCGGCACAGCGGGACCCGCTCAGGGTCACCGCAGCAGGATGGCACGCCGTTTTGGGGCAGAAAGCTGGTTTTATGTGAGTTTGGCTGGATGGCAGGTTCGCTGGGGGCTCGCTCGGCACCCTGAACCCGTCCCAGCCCGATTCGGGTGGCTCCGAGCGCTCCGTCTCGCCGGTGTCACCGCGGCGCCTCCCCGGTAAGTCGTCTCGCTGCGCCCCGCGGCACGGCAGCTCCCGGAGCTCGGCGGCGCAGGGCCGTGGTGCCTGGAGCGGCTCGGGGGGCTGGCTGCGTCCTGCTGGGGGGGACTGTGCATGCTTTGTAACCGAGCTCTTGGTGCGGGCCTGAATTATAGCCTCCCTTTTGCGTCTGTTTCTTCAAGGCAAGCGGATGCGCGTGCAGTTGTCCACCAGCCGGCTCAGGACCGCGCCCGGGATGGGAGACAAGAGCGGCTGCTACCGGTGCGGGAAGGAAGGGCACTGGTCTAAAGAGTGTCCGGTAGATCGCCCGGGGCAAGTGGCTGACTTTACCGAGGCCTATAACGAGCAGTACGGAGCCGTGCGCACTCCCTACACCGCGGGCTATGGGGAGACCATGTATTACGATGACGCGTACAGCGGGATGGCCGACTACTACAAGCGCTACCGCGTCAGGTCCTATGCGACGGCCTCTGCATACGACGCCTATGCAGAGCAGACCATGGCCCAGTACTCCCAGTACGCCCAGTACTCGCAGGTCCAGTCCACGGCCATGGCCGCCACCACAGCCATGGCCAGTCGCATCCCCACCACCCTAGACCCCTACGATAGAGCTCTGCTGCCCACCCCGGGCGCGGCCGCCGCGGTCGCCGCCGCCGCCACCGCCGCGGCGGCGGCGGCCTCCTCCACCTATTACACCCGGGATAGAAGCCCCCTGCGCCGCACGGCAGCCGCGGCCACCACCGTCGGAGAGGCGTACACTTACGATCGTAGTCAGCTGTCGCCGGTCTCGTCGGTCGCTCGGGCCTCCCTCTACGACATGCAGCGCTTCGGGCGCGACCCGTACGCGGACAGGGCGCGGTACTCTGCCTTTTGAGCCGAGGTGAGCGTCTGCGCAGGGCTGCTCCGTGCTGCTTGTCCTTGTGCTGCCCGCGGGGGCTGCGTGGGGGCCCCGGCGGCTCGGAGCGCGGGCTCCGGTAACTCCCCCCGCCACCGCCGCGTCCCGCCCGCAGCTGGGGTTGAGGCGGGGAGAGCTGAGTAGCGGGGTCAGGATTCGGCACGAGGACCCGAGCCGGGCCCTTTCTGGACGTTAAAGCCCGGGTGCTGGCTCTGGAAGCCACCGCGACGAGTGCCAGCGCCTGGCAGCGCTCCCGGGTGCAGGGAGCAGGACCCCAAATCCACCCCCCGGGCACCCGGTGAGGGGAGACTCCTCTCCCCGCTCGGCTCCCGGTAGAACCGTGCCCCGCTCTGGTGAGACCTCCCGCTGCCGTGGCGAGGGCAGAGCCGAGCTGGGCTCACGGCTGGACTCCGGTTGCCTGCAGGAGCCGCTGGCGCCGCGCAGGGCTCGGCACGGCCCCGGCCCCCGGGGCTGAATTGTGTTTTCTCTTGCAGGTAAGGTGTTTGCGGCTGGACGCCGGGGTCCCGTGGCAGGTGAAAGCTGCGCCGCGCGCGTCGGACGGTGCCGCGCTCCCAGGCCCGCCCCGCCTCAGCTAACGAACCGGGTCCCTAACGGACGCTCGAGCTTCTTCGTAGCCTAGTCAGGAGTAGCTTCGCCCCCTCCCCGCCCCCCCCCCCGTACGTTTTGATTTTTCGGGATTTGCTCTCAATTAGCTCCGTGCCCCCCTCCCCGCCCCGTGCTGCCCTCCAGCCCGGCCGCCCCTAGCTGGTCTAGGCTCAGGTTTAGCGCGAGCGTAGCCGTAGCGCGAGCTTTGCTTCCCTGCTCCCCCCCCCATTCCCCACGCAGCCTGGGCTGTAGCTTTTTGTTTTTTTTTTTTCGTTTTTTTTCTTTTTTTTCTTTTTTTTTGTTTTTTTCTTTTTTTAACGTGCTTATTTTTTAAAGAGAATCAGTCTTAACTTTGTAATACTGAATGACGGAGCCGAGTCAGAAGCGCTGAGTCGAGCCCCCCCCCCCCCCTCCCGGCTCGTTGCCACCGGCGTGGGGCACAACCCGCCACCCCCCCCCCCCACACACCCCCCCCGGCCTTTAGCCTCCTTTCCAGTTAAATAAAATCTCTTTTAACAAACCCGGGCGTGTGTCTGGCGTGCGGGCGCTTCCCCCTCCCAGTCCCTGGGGGCTTTTCTCCAGCCCCCCTCCCACCCCGGGGCTCCTGGACTGCCCCTAGAAAGCAGCAAATGAAGGGGGGGGGGGGGGCCAGGAGAGGCCGGGCCTCGCTCTGTGGCCTCCCCTCGCTGGCAGCACCCCCCTGACCCCGCTGCTGGGCTAATTAACCCTAACGAGGCTGGCTCGTTAACCCCTGCTGCCAGCAGGGTGGGCCCCACAGAGCCCCCCACGCACCCCCTGCCTGGCTGCTGCCCCTTGTGCTCGCCAGCCTCCCCCCCACTCCCCTCCCTGGCTCGTTAGGTAACGATGCTAATTAATTAAACGCTCGCCTGGGGCGCAGCTTTGCCGGCAGCCGCTGTCCGGGCCCCTCGCCTGTCCCCGGGCTCCTGGCTGTGGTGTTTTTTGGCGTCCTGAAGCCGGCAGCAGCTCCGGGTGCGTTTCCAGATTTAATTCCTCTGCCTCCTCCAGCTAACGGCCTCCACCCGCTCGCCTCCTCTCCCAAATCCTCTTCTAACTCCTGCTCCTCGCGGCAGCGCTGCCCCTCGGCTAAGTTTTTACCGGCACCTCCGGCCGTGGTCCTGCTGCTTTTTGTACCGGGAGCCTCTCGCTGACGCCGCGGCCTGGAAAACGAGGGGGAGAAGCGTTAGGCCCTGTGACACCGCGCCAATTAATTAACGATGATTTGCTTAACGATTCCCTTGATTTGCCGTCCCAGCAGCGGGCTGGGGCCGCTTTTCTTTCCTCAGGCTGCGTTTTCACCGCGCTGACTCCGTGATCTCGGTGTGCAGGGGGGTCCCAGCCCTCCGACAGACCCGACCGAGCGGCGAGGGGCCACCAGCGCCCTGCTGCCGTCCCCACCGCCCCCCGAACAAGAAGACAAGGGACAGCAAACGCTTTTACAAACTTTAATGATGGTTCCAGCAGCAACGAGGAGCCCGGCGGGGCCCCAGCGAGCGGCTCGGCCACACGGAGGGAGCGCTGCCACTCGCCCCGGGCTGAGCGAGCCCCTTACATCCCAGAGCTACTCCGCTAAAACCGAAGTGTCGCCGGGAGGAGCCGGTCAGATTTCACTTAGTGAACGCTGAGAGAGAAACGGAACGGTGACTGGAGAGAAAACCTGCAGGCGCCGCAGTGCAACAGGAGCAGGATGAGCGGGGGACGCCCCGAATGACCAAAACACCCCCTGAAGGAACCGTCCCCAGCAGGAGGCCACCACCCCACTGCCCTGTCCTTGGAGGCGACCCCAATCCCTCTGCTTGCAGGAATTTGTGATTTCTTTCAGAAATCTGCTGCCACCCACCCAAAAAAGAGCAGTTCTGGGAAGAGACGCGTGCAACAACCGCGCGTGGCCGACGCTCCGGCCCCAAACCCGCTGGTTTGCCTCTAGCAGGGACAGGGAGAGCGGCGGGATGCGGTCTGACCCCAAACCCCACTGCAACACGTCCCCAAACGGCCGGGCTGGGCAAAGAAATACAGAGGACAAGGGTTTCCAAACGGAAAACAGCCCAGCTTTTTATTTACAGTCGTACAAAACGTCACTCGGTGCTGCTGCGTCGAGCCCAACGCCGTGCCTGGGTTTTAAAAAAGGCGAGGGGAAGAAAAAATGGGGATGGGGGAGCTGAAAGAGCTCCTCGCTCGGCGGCGCCGATCGCTCGGGATACAAAACGCGCCCGGGCGGTGAGGGGGTGGCTGAGAGAGCCCCGCGCGGCGCAGAGGAGACGGTGCCACGACGGTAACGGCGCTGCAGGGAGCGGCCGAGGGGCTGCGCGGCCGCCTGGCGCTTTTCCCCAGGCACAGAACAACGTGTTTTCAAACCGTGAATCCAAAACCTTCTAAAAACGAGAGAAAAAAATCAAAGATGGGAAAAAAAAAACGATAATAAAAGGCAGCTAAAAATAACCGTCCCTGCCCGGGAGCAGGCGAACCACGCTGGGTGCCGCGGCGAGCGCTGCGCCGCCGGTGCCACCGGAGACGGCGCGGAGGGGAGGGAGCGACCCGGCGGCGCTCCCGGGAGGCGTCCCGAGGGACCGGCGCACGCCACCGGCCCTAGAGGCGGCGCTGGTAGCCCGAGTGCACGCGGGCCGGGGGCAGGTAATCGCCGTAGCCGCCCGAGTAGCGGGCGTAATCGGCGTGCGCTTCCGGAAGGCGGCGGTAATCCAGCGGGGACTTTGTCGGCGAGCGGCGGTACGCGAGCGGCGAGTCCGCTAAGCGGCGGTAATCTGAGAGGTCAGACAAACGGCGGTCTGAATTGTACCTGGTCGAGAGAAGAGAGAGGCCGTGAATACAGCGCCGGGGCGCGGCCGAGAGGGCGCCCCGAATCCTGGCGCGGTGCAGGGAGCACCCGCAGCAGCTCGCTGCCGCCGCCCGACTGCAGGCAGGCGAAGCTTTTTGCCGTTGCAGCCTCCCCGGGCAACAAGCGAAGCCGATTCCCCCCAAATTTTGGGGGGCAAACAAGCGCTTGGCGAACCCGCCGCGGTCCTGAGGCACCGTCGGTGCCCGGCACCGAGCGACGCAGCCACCTCCCGGCGCAACGGCACGGGTGACCGGCCCGGCGCGCTCACAGACACCGCGAGCAGCCCCCGGGTGACCAGCGCGGCCTCACAGAGGGGCGAGAACCCGCCCGCGCCCACCCCCGGCCCCAGCCAGGCGCAGAGAAGCGAGGGGAGGGGGTTACGCGGGGGGTGAGCGGCGCCCGCGCTGCGCTCCTGGCTGTTAGCTCCGCGGGCGCGCCGGGGGCCGAGGGAGGCCCCCCGCTAGGCGCCAGCCGCCGCCCCTGGCCCAGCTGCGTACCTTTTTGCCAGAGCCGAGGACTTTTTGTACGGATCGTCATAGCCGGCGCTGCGAGGCGGCGAGAGGCGGGTGCGCTCGTAGGGCGGTGCGACGGCGGCGGCCTGCGACAGGCCCAAGTAGGAGGCCGCCTGCTGGCCCAGCTGGCTCGGCCCGTCGTAGGCGCTGCCCGGCTGGGCTCTGTAGGCGGCCGCCAGCGACGCGGAGGAGGCCTGCTGCGCCGGGTAGGAGGCCGCCATCGAGTTGGAGGCCTGGGCTCGGTAGGCCGCCGTCAGCGGGGCGGAAGCCTGCGCCTTGTAGGAGGCGGCGGCGGCCTGGCTGCCGTAGGAGGCGGCCAGCGAGGAGCCCGCCGGGGCGCCGTAGGTGGCGGAGAGCGCGGCGGCGGCGGACTGGCTGCCGTAGGAGGCGGGCAGGTTGGCGGCGGGCTGGGCGCCGTAGGAGGCCGAGTGGCCAGCAGCGGGCTGGGCCCCGTAGGAGGCCGAGAGCGCGGCCACCGGCTGGGCACCGTAGGCCGAGTGGCTGGCCACCGGCTGGGCGCCGTAGGCGGTGGCGGCGTGGCCGGCCATGGGCTGGGCGCCGTAGGACGTGGCGTGCGCGGCCACGGCCTGGGCGCTGTAGGAGACCGAGAGCACGGCGCCGGCCTGGGCGCCGTAGGAGGCGGCGTGGCCGTCGAGGGGCTGCGCGCCGTAGGAGGCAGCGTGGCCGGTGGCGGCCTGCACGCCGTAGGAGGCTACGTGCGTGGCCACGGCCTGGGCGCCGTAGGAAACCGTGGGGCCGGCGGCAGGCTGCGCGCCGTAGGCGGCGGCGGCCTGGGCGCCGTAGGTGGCCGAGTAGCCAGAGGCGGCCTGCGCCCCGTAGGAGGAGGCCAGGGCCGTGGACTGGACGCTGTAGCCGGAGAGCTGGGAGGCGGCGGCGGGCTGCGCGCCGTAGGAGGCGGCGGCGGTGGGCTGCGCGCCGTAGGAGGCCAGGGAGTTGGCGCCGGGCTGCGCGCCCGAGGCGCCCAGGGCCACGGCGGCCTGGGAGCGGTAGGCGCCGCCCAGCGAGGCCGAGGGCTGGGCGCGGTAGGCGGCCGCCTGGCCCGTGGTGGGCTGCGGGCGGTAGGCCATGCCCAGCGAGGCCGAAGGCTGGGCGCGGTAGGCGGCCCCCAGCGAGGCCGAGGGCTGGGCGCGGTAGGCGGCCGGCTGCGCCGTCATGGGGAGCGTCACCGCCGAGTAGCCGCCGGCTCTGGTCGGGGAGCGCCGGAGGGGGCTGCGGTCCCGCCCGAAGTAGGCGGGGGAGGAGGGCCGCGCCTGCGGGTCGAAGCCGTCGTACTTGCCGGCGGCGGCGGTGCCGAAGCGCTGCTGGTAATCGTACAGGGAGGAGGAGGAGGAGGCGGCGTAGCCGGCGGCGGCCGAGGGGAAGGCGGCGTCCGCGACCCTCCGCTGCTCGAAGCCCTCGATCTTGGGCTGGAACTTCTCCCTGTACTCCAGGCCTATCCGCTTGTTCTTGTCCACCACGACGCCGGCCTGCACGGCCGGGCCCATGCCCTTTTTCTGCACGTTGGTGGAGAGCTCCACATTGACTCTTCTTCCTTTCACCTCCTTCCCATTAAGATTTTCGATGGCAACTTTTGCATCTGCTTCGTTCTCCATGTGAACAAATGCATAGTCTGATAAAGCAGCAGACAGAGGGTTATCAGTGGGGGAGAAAAGACATTTCGTTACAGGAGCGAACGCTTAACGAGGCGCGCGGCCCCGCTCCACCCTACGTGCAGCCCGCCGAGCCGCAGCCCGGCTGACCGACACCGGCGGTGGCCCCGCTTGCACCGAAACCTCCCCAAAGGGCCCCGGGCTTGAGCGGAGCGAGCGCGTCCTCCTGGCACCCCCAGGGCCACCACCCGACTGCAGGGAAGGAGAAACCGCAGCCTCCAGCCCGAGGCTTGGAGTGGGGTCAGGTTAAAGCGGGGCTTTGCCCGCCCCAGGCCCTGCTCCCCACCCTTTCGGCCAAGATCAGCGGGCTGCTGACAGCTCGGGTCGGCCTCGGTGTGCTCCCACCCCGTAATTAGCACCGTGAGCCCAGCGGAGCTGCCCGGCCCCGCTTTCTGCTCCTTTTGCCACCGTTTTCCTCCCTCCCTCGCCCCAGCACAGCGTGCCCTGCCGCAGGCCACCGCTCTGTGCGGGGCACGACCCCTCGCCGCGGTCAGAGCCCCCCCGGGACCTCTCCGCGCCGGTCCTCGGCCCGCACGAGGCCTCTCGGCAGCGAGCAGAAAGAGAGAGCAGGGAGAGGAGAGGAGCGACGCCGGGGCAGAGGGCCGCAGCACCGAGCGGCTCGGCTCCAGAAGGAGCGAGGCCCGCGGGCAGCGCGTTCCGGCGAGGCGTTAGAGGCCTGGCAGCGAGGAGCTGAGCAGAAGAAGCAGCGCAGGAAGGTGAATCATTAACCGAGAGCGGAGGCGAGAGCCGAGAGAAGCGTGAGAAGCAGCAGAGACCCGATAGCGGCACCGTGACACCCGCAGGCTGGAGCCGGGCCCAACGGCCGCCCGCAGCACGTGAGGGAGCGCTTCTGGGGGCTGGGCCCCCATTATGGGGGCTCAGGAGGCGTGGGGGGGGCTCGATCCCCACCTCACAGCAGCTCTGGGAGCTCGTCGCGGCGCCTCTGTGGCGGTGACCCACAGTGACAAGCCTGAGGTGCGGCCTGCTGGCACCCCCTGGGAACCCCCTTCCACCAGCAGCACCGTGGGGGGAGCTTCAGGGCAGCCCCCCCCGAAGGTCTCAGCGTGCTCGGAGGTACCGCTCGCTGAGCGCAGGCGCTAGGGCTGGGCAAACGCCATAAAACGCCTCAAAGTCCAGCTAAAACGTGGTCAACGCGTGCGTCACCTCGCCCAGCCTCCCCCCAGCTCACTCCCCCTGCTCCACACCACTGCTACCCCCCCCCCCGGGCTCCTTCCCGCAGCAGGAAGCACTCAGGCGCTGCGCACGCTTCCAAATTCTGCTGTAAAGGTGCTAAAAATGCCCTTAGAGGTCCCTGAAAAGCCCCAAACCCGCCCTGGCAGCCCACCCCCTTTGGGGGCTGCTGCAAAGCCCCCCCCAAATCGGCCACGAGGACGCCAGAAACATTTGGCGTGGGTTTCGGCGCCGTTCTCCAACGGGGCGGGGGGCGTCCTGGTGGGGCTGCGACCTGGGACGAGAGAGAGCAGAGGCAACAGCATCACCCTGCCGCGGGGCAGCCCCAGCCGGCACCTTCTCAAGTGAGGGGGGATTGTGGAGAGACCTCGGCGCGAGGCAAGCCCCCCCCTTGATGCTGCACCCCCGAATTAACCTGCCTGCGGGGGCCCCGAGCCAGGGCAGCCCCTCAGAAGTTTGCGTTCCACGTGCCTCAAAAAGTTTCGAGCTCGCTGTGAACCAGCCTCCGCGTCCGGGCTGGAGGAGATTTGGGCAGAGAAAGCGGTGGTGGAGGGGGAGGGAAAGAGCTCCCAGCCCTTAACGGGGACAAATTCCAGGAGCAGGCGTAGCTCCGGGCCAGCCCTTTGCGTCCCCGTCCCATGGGAGCAGGGGGGGGTGAACCCCAGCGCCCTGCAGCAGGGCTGGGCTCACCCCGGTGTGGTGTGGGGGGGCTGTACGGTACCGGGGGGGTCTCTACCGGGGGGGGGCCGCCAGAACGGGCCGGGGAAAGGGAGGGGAGAGCGCGGGGGGGCAGAAGCCGCAAGGCACCGGTCGGAGAACGGCGCAGCCCCGGCCACAACCGGCGCCGGAGCGGCTCCCAGGACGGTCACCGGCGCTGCACCGGGCCGGGGCCGGAGCGAGAGGGGGCCCCCGGCGGAGGAGGCGGGGGGGGAGGCCGAGGGGAGCGGCCCCGGGAGCGCTGGCGGCGGGTCCGGTACCTTTGACCACGTCGCACTCGACGACGGTGCCGTACTGCTGGAAGAGCGAGCGGAGCTCGCCGCTGGTGCAGGCGGCCGAGACGTTGCCGACAAAGATCTTGCAGGTGTTGGTGGGCCGCGGCCGCGACGGCTCCACCACGATGCGGCGGCCGTGCAGCTGGTGGCCGTTGAGCTGCGCGATGGCGCGGGCCGCCGCCGCCTCGTCGCGGAGGTGCACGAAGGCGAACTGCTTCATCAGCGCGATGCCCAGCACGGGCCCGGCGGCGCCGGCGAACAGCTCGCTCAGCTCCTCCGCCGTCGCCTCCTCGGGCACGTTGCCCACGAAGAGTTTGATGCCGGGGCGCATGGCGGCGGCGGCGGCGGCGGAGGGAGCGGGGAGCGGGAGCGCGGCGGCCTCACAAAATGGCGGCCGCACCTCAGCGCTGAGGGGGAGAGGCGAACGGGCACTGCGCACGCGCGCCGCCTTCCCGCCCACCCCACCGCGCATGCGCGCCCGCAGCTCCCGCCTCGACCCTCGGGAGTTGCCTAGCAACAGCCCCGCCCCTCCCCAACGAGCGCGGAGCCCGTTTGGCCGAGCGGCCGTTGGGGGCGGGGCCGCGCTGGGCCACGCCCACTCTTAAAGGGGCCGCGGAGCCCGGTTCTGAGGGGGGCTGAGAGGGCTGCGGGGCGCAGAAAGCACTTTATTACACATCTTTATTTTTTAATAAATATTTACACTTTATTATATACATTAACACTCTGGTTTCTCCTCAGATCATATAATTATACTTGATTATAAAAAATATGCACTTTGGTCACTCCCCAGGTCATATATTTGTACTTTTTATATAAAAATAGGCACTCTGGCTCCTCCTCAGACCATATATTTGTATCTTTTCATATAAATTTACACTCCAGTTTCCCCTCAGATCGCACAATTACACTTTGTCGCAGAAGTTTGCACTCCGGTTTCTCCTCAGACTGTATATTTGTATTTTTTTATATAAACTTGCCCTCCAGTTTCTCATCAGATCACACAATTATGCTTTATAGTATAATTTTTCACTCAGTTTCCCCTCAGATCATATATTTATGCTTTATCATATAAATTTTCACTCAGTTTCCCCTCAGATTGTACAAAAATATCCTATAAATTCACAGTTTCCCCTCAGACCACACAACTGTACTTTATCATACAACTTCACGCTGGGTTTCCCCTCAGATCTTAGATTTTTCTACACCAACTTGTGCTCTGGTTTCTCCTCAGATCACACATTTGTATTTTATCCTATAAATTTGCACTCCGGTTTCCTCTCAGATCCCCTAATTATACTTTATCCTATAAATTCTCACTCAGTTTCCCCTCAGATCGTGTATTTATGCTTTATCCTATAAATTCACACTCGGTTCCTCCTCAGATCGCATAATCACAATTTTTATACAAATCCCGCACTCTGTTTTTCCCTCAGATGGTATAATTATATTTTTTTACATAAATTTGCACTCTGTTTTTCCCTCAGATGCTGTAATTACACTTTTTATATCAATTTTCACTCCGTTTTCCCCTCGGATCCCACAGTCACCCTTTATCCTATAACTTCGCACTGTTTTCCCCTCAGATGCTATAATTATATATTTTTACACCTCCCCAGCCCCAGTTTCTCATAACCCCCCCCGATTCCTCGCAGCCCCTACAGGTGTGGGGTGGGGGCCGGGGGGGGTCCGGGGGCAGCTTGGTCGCGCTCGTCCCACAGCGTGACCCCAGTCGCAGCTGCAGACGCGTTTGGGGTTCTGGAAGAGCCCGGCCGCCCTCGCCACCACGCCGCAGGCCAGCCTGGGGGGGCACAGGGTGTGAGGGGGGGGCTTCGTGTGTCCCCCCACCCCTTTTTGAGCCCCCCCATCGCTCACCTTGGCCCCGAGTTCCCCGTCACCCGTGACAGGGGGTGGGAGCCCCGGCCCAGGTCGTCCTCGCCCGCATCCACCACCACCGAGCGCCCGATGATGTCCCAGACCTGGGGGGCACACGGAGCAAGGGCTCGGGACCCCCCCCAAAGATTTGGGGCGCAGGGTGGCCCCCCCAGCCCCCCCCATGGCCTCACCTTCAGGCGCGAGTCCTCCATGCGGAAGGCGGCCCGGCCATCGGCGTCCGCCCAGATGTTGCCCAGGTCCCCGGCGTGCTATGGGGCAGAATGGGGGGGTCAGGGGAGACCCCAAAACTCCCCCCCCCATCCACCGGTCCCGGGGGTCCCGCAGGCTCACCCGGTGCTCGTCCTCAGGTCCCCCGTGGCACTCCCCGTCAGGGTTGAAATGGTCCCCGCAGCTGTGGGGGGGACGTGGGGTGAGGTCGGGGTGTCCCCGTTCCCCATTGGGGTCCCTGTTCCCCACTGGGGTGTCCCTGTTCCCCATTAGGGCACTCCCATTCCCCACTGGGGTCCCCATTCCCCATCAGGGCGTCCCCATTCCCCATTGGGGTGTCCCTGTTCCCCACTGGGGTCCCCATTCCCCATCGGGATGTCCCCATTCCCTGTTGGGGCATCCCCATTTCCCATTGGGGTGTCCCTGCTCCCCATTAGGGTCCCGATTTCCCATTGTGGGGCCCCCATTCCCCATCAGGGTGTCCCCATTCCCTGTTGGGGTGTCCCCATTCCCCGTTGGGGTGCCCCCACTCCCCATCGGGGTGTCCCCATCCCCATCGGGGTTCCCCCACCCCCTCACCTGTCGCAGGAGCGGGACAGATCCCCGAACTCGTGCACGTGCAGCCCGTGGGGGCCCGGCTGCAGCCCGTCGATGGCCCCGTCCACCAGGCAGCTCCGCGGGGTCACCTGCAGGAACCGCACCAGGCCCCGCACCCCGCCGGGACCCGCCACCGCCGCCACCGCCGCCCCCAGGCTGCCTGTGGGGGGACCCCCGGCCTGTTTTAGGACCCCCTCCCCGGCCCAATTTGGGACCCCCCTTAGGGTTCGTACTCACCCTCCTCGGCGCCCCCCATGCCCTTCAGCACCGCGCGGCGCCCCGAGGCCTCCAGCAGCTCCCGCACGCGCTCGGCCGCCAGCTCGGTCTCCACCAGCACCGTCTGCGCCTCCAGCCGCAGCTCCAGCAGCCGCACGCCTGTGGGGATGGGCGGTGACACCGCGGGGACACCGGGGGGACACTGGGGGGGGGGGGTTTGGGGGTGTGGGGCTCACCTGGGGCTCCCCGCAGCGCCCCCCGCACGGCCTCGGCGCAGCTCTCGCAGCTCATCTGTACGGCAAACTCCAGCTGGGGGAGAGAAGGGGTGTGGGGTCAGGGGGGTGTGGGGTGGCCCCAAAGGTTGCTCTGGCCCCGGGGCTATGCACCCCAAAATTTCTGTGGCCCTAAAATCCTGTAGCTGGGGAGCTGCAGCCCCAAAATTCTGTAGCTGGGGATATTCACTCCAAAAATCCCATACCTGGGGTTCTGCACCCCCAAAGTCCCATCGCTGGGACCCTACAACACCAAAATCCCACGACTGTGGTTCTTCAGCCCTAAAAATCCCACAGCTGCAGCCCTCTACCCCCAAAATCCCAAAGCTGGGGATCTGAACCCTCAAAATCCCAAAGTTGGCATTATTCACCCCAAAATCGCACAGCTGGGGCCCTTTTACCCCAAAACCCTAAAGCTGGGGCCCTGCACCCCCAAAATCCCACAGCTTGGGCTCTGCCCTCCCCAAACCATATAGCTGGGACCTAACACCCCAAAATCCCAAAGCTGGGGCTTTTTCCCCCCCAAAAAAACACAGCTGGGGCTCTGCACTCCCCAAACCCTGTAGCTGGGTCCCAACCCCCCCAAAATCCCACAGCTGGTGTTATTCACCCCAAAACCCCCAAAGCTGGGGCCCTGCACCCCAAAACCCCCCCGTTTCCCCCCCGGCCCCCCCCTCACCCTGCAGCTGGGCCCGCGGGGTCCCGGCGCCGCCATGGCCGCGGCCTCGCTCCCGGCCCCCCGGAACCAAAGCGGCGGCGCCCGCGGCGGGGGCCGGACCCGTGATGGGGACGGACCGGGAGCCGCTTCTGGCGTGCTGTTGCCATGGAAACGGGGGGGGGGGGGGGCGCCGCAGGCTTCTGGAGGCCGCTGTAGGCCGCGGGGAGCCCCCGGGGTTTGTGAGGGGCCGGGGGGGGGCTCAGGGGGGTCCATGGGGGGTGGGGGACCGAGCCCGTGCAGGGTTGGGGATCCCCGTTACTGGGGGGGGGAGACCTGGGGGGGAGGAGAGCAGTTTTGGGGGGGGTCCCAGGACGATTTGGGGGGTTCTGGGACTATTTGGGGGGGTCCAGGACGTTTTGGTTGGGGATTCCCTGCAATTCTGGGGGGTTCAGGGATGATTTGGGGGTCCTAGGATGATTTGGGGGGTCTCAGGACAATTTTGGGATGGTTCCACGCTGTTTTTGGGGGGGTTCCAGGTAGTTTTGGGGGTCCTAGGACAATTTGGGGGGTCCCAGAACGTTTTGGGGGGGGGGTTCAAGAACGATTTGGAGGTCCTAGGATGATTTGGGGGATCCCAGGATGATTTGGGTGTCCTAGGATGACTTGAGCTGGGGCCCCAGGACATTTTTGGGGAGGTTCTGGGACATTTTGGGGGTCCCAATCCAACCTGGGGGGGCTCTTCCCAGGTCCGGAGCGATGGAGCCCCCCCCGCGGCACAGCCTCACCGCCCCGGTGCTCGATCAGAAGCTGGTGGCCGACCTGCGGGAGCTGCGAGCCATCGCCGGCGCCGACCTCCGCACCATCCCCTGCCTGCCCCTCACCCTGCTGTCCCCCCGCACCCCCCACCCACCCCCCCCGACCACCACCCCCCACCCCGGCACCGCCACGGCACACCGAGCCCGCTCACAGCCGGCACAGACAGAGCACCAGCACCGGGTGGAGGAACCGGGGGTCTCACCGTCACCCCCACCGCCCCCCCAGCCCCTCTCCGTGCCGGCGCTGCCGCCCCCCGGCACCACCGCGGCGGCGCTGGATCTGCAGCGGCTGACACAGCGGGCACCGAGCGATGCCCCCCGGCTGCCACCGCTGCTGGCGGCGCTCACCCGCCGCCCCCAGGACGACGCGCGGCTGCGGTGGCTGCGGCGCCACCAAACTCAGGAGCCGGGGACCCTCCCCGCGCCCCCCCCGGCCCTCGGCTGTCAGCCTCCTGCGGCGGCCGGAGCCGGTGGAGAGCGCGGTGTGGCTGCGGCTGCAGCCCCCGCTCTGCCCCGAGCCCGTGGAGGTGGCGGCGGCGGAGGCCGAGGCCGAGCCCGGCGAGGAGCTGCGGGCGCTCTACCAGCAGCTGGCGGCGGCGCTGCCCGGAGAGCGGCTGCGCTTCGAGCACGAGCCCCTGGTGCAGCCGGCGGCCACCGGCCGTGACCTTGACCCCGAGGGGCCGCAGGGGACGGGCGCTGCGGCACGCGGCACCGCCCCGGCACGGCGCTGGGAGCCCCGAAACGCCTCGCTGCTGCAGGACTACCTGCGGTACCTCGAGGGCACCGGCTCTGACTTCCTCCACGCCATCTTCAACCTCGGCGGCGGCAGGCGAGGAAGAGGAGGAGGAGGCGGTGAAGGCCCCGCGGGTCGCGGCAGAGCCGGCAGAGGGGACGCCGGTGACACCGGCGGGGCTGCAGCAGCTCCAGCAGCGCCTGCAGCAGCTCTGGGCCGCGCTGCTCAGTCCCTGGCCACCAGCGCCTGGCCATGGCCACCAAATACGCCGACGGCAGCGGCCCTGGCGCGGCTGCCGGCGGCGCTGGCAGCTGTGGGAGGAGGCCGCCGGCCTCATCCGGCAGCGGGAGCAGCTCCTGGCGTGGCTGGAGGGGCTGGAGGTGCGCGCCTCCGACCCCAACCGCTTCTTCTGCCGGGCCCCCAAAGCCTTCGCGGCGCGTGCCGGCGAGGCGCGGGCCCGGGGGCGGCTGCGTGCCGCCGTGGCCGGCTGCGAGGGGCTGCTCCAGGGCTGCGCTGCGGCGCCTGCGGGAGGAATTTGGGGACGAAGGTGACGCTGCGGGGACGGCCCTACGAGGAGAAGATGCGCCGGGACGTGGTGGAGATGCTCTACCGGCTGCAGCAGGGCCGCCGTGCCGGCGCTCTGGGGGCGATGCTGCGGCACCTGGGGCGCCGAAAATGTCCCTGGGGGGCACGAGTGGACGACGTGAGGATGTGGGAGCGGTGCTGTGATCCCCCCCCTGGAGCAGGCAGTGCTGGAAAATACATTTATTCACCCCAAAATCCCCAATCAGTGGTGTAGAAGGGCGCCGGCTCCCGTTGTGCTGAGCCCTTGGGGCTCGCTGTCCTTGGGGGACGCCGCATGCTCCGCGTCCCCTAAATGCGCGCGATCCAGTCCTTTTGGGGGGGCAAAATGTCCCCCCCGTCCCCCGGGCTCAGCCCATGCTGTCCTTCACCTGCTGCACGATTCGGGCGCGCACGGCCCGCGCCTCGCTGGAGATCTGCACGTGGGGCGCCTGCAGCGGCAGCTCAGGGCTCGGGGTCGGGGTCGGGGCCCTCGGGGGGCTCGAGGGGCATGCGGCGGCGCAGGGCGATGTTGTGGAGCACGCAGCAAGGCCAGGAAGATCTGGCAGACCTTCTGGGGGGCGTACTGCAGGCAGCCCCCCGCCGCGTCCAGGCAGCGGAAGCGGCGCTTGAGGAGGGCGCGGGTCTGGCGCAGGGCGGCCAGCGCCTGGTGGTGCAGCGCGTTGTAGCGCTCCTCGGCCGCCCCGCACTGGGAACAGGATGGGCGTCATCAGCCACGTCTTCAGCGGGTAGCTGCGGTCCCCTGCGGGGCGGGGCGGGGCGGGGGGGGCGCCTCGTCACCTCTGGGGTGGCCTCGTGGTGACCCCACGTGGCACCTCGTGTCACCCCAGTAGTCCCTCTCATGTCACCCCCACTGTCCCCAATTCTCTCCAAAACCCCCAAAGCTCCCCAAACTCCCAGGTCTTCCAAACCCCTCCAAGTCTTCCCCAACCCTCAAGCCTTCCCAAACCCCCAAATCTCTCCCAAATCCATCACATCTACCTGATACCCAGACACCCCCCATACCCCCAAATCCCCCCAAAACCCCCAAATCCCCCCAATACCCCCAAATCTCCCCCAAACCCCCAAGCCTCCCCAAAATCCCCAAGTCCCCCAAACTCCCAAGTCTCCCAACCCCCCTAAGTCTCTCCCAAACCCCCAACTCCTCCCCATCCCCTAAATCTCCCCAAAACCCCCAAATCTCCCCAAACCCCCAATTCCCCCCAACCCCCAAATCTCCCTAAATCCCCAAAACCTCCAACTCTCCCCCAAACCCCCACCTCTCCCCCTCATATTTCAAATCACCCAATCCTCAAATCTCCCCCAACTCCCCCATCCCCCAAATCCCCCCCAAACCCCCAACTCCTCCCCAATCCCCCAAATCCCTCCCCAAACCCCCAAATCCCCCCCCAACCCCCCCCTCACCCAGCAGCCAGGCACCCTCGGGCCTCGCCCCCTCGAGCAGCCTGGCCAGGGCGGAATTCTCCAGCACGGCGGCGTTGGGGCAAGAACCGGGGAATTTGGCCACCACGTTGGTGATGGCGCCGGCGGCGTCGCACACCACCTGCATGTTCATGGAGTGGAAGTTGCGGGCGTTGCGGAACGCCACCTCGTTCTCCGACGGCGCCCGCAGCGCCACGTGCATGCTGCCCAGCAGCCCCAGCACCCCGGGGAAGGCGCCGGCACCGGGAGCCGTGGGCGCGGGGCGGCCGGGCGCCGGGAAGGCGATGTAGCGCGCCGCCCGCCGCTGCAGCGCCTCCAGGAACTGCGCCAGGCAGTTGGACATGGCCGACTGGCTGATGCCGGTGGAGTCGCGCGTGGCCGTCTGGAAGGAGCCCGAGGCCAGGAAGGTGAGCGCCGACGTCACCTTGACGGCCACCGGCAGCGCGTGGCTGCGCCCCGTCAGGCTCTCCAGGTCGGCGCCCAGCTCGCGGCACAGCCCGGCGATGGCGGCCTTGTCCAGGCGGTAGCGCCGCAGCACCTGCTCCTCGCTCAGGTCCAGGAAGGAGCTGCGGGCGCGGTACACGCGGTGCTCGGGGTAGAAGCGGCGGCGGCGCCCGCGTTTACGCCGCGGGGTGGGGCCGGGGGCCGGGGAGGGACCCCCGGGTGGTGCCCCCCCCCCTGCCCCCGCCGCCGCCGCCGCCTCGCCGCTGCGCTCACGCACCCGGCGCAGGAGCAGCACCGAGTCCGACATGGCCCCCGCGGGGGGACGGGGGGGATAGGGGGGGACGGGGGGGGTGGGGGGAAGGGAAGGGCTGGGGGTGGGGCCTAATGGGGAGGGGAGGGGCCTAAAATGGAGGGGAGGGGCCTAATTAGGAGGGGAGGGGCCTGGGGAGGGAGGGGCCTAATTAGGAGGGGAGGGGCCTAATGGGGAGGGGAGGGCCTAATAGGGGGAGGGGCCTAATGGGGAGGGGAGGGGCCTCTGTTGAAGGGGGAGGGGTCTAAACAGGAGGGGAGGGGCCAAACAGGGAGGGGAGGGGCCTAAACGGAGGGGAGGAGCCTAATGAGGAGGGGGCGGGGCCTAACTGAAAGGGGCGGGGCTTAATTGGGAGGGGCGGGGCCTAATGGGGAGGGGGGGGCCGAGAGAGGATGGGAGGGGCAAAGGGGGCGGGGCCACGAAGGGGGCGTGGCCACGACGGGGGCGGGGTCAAGGGGCGGGGCCAGGCCCAACCCGGCTGCCCGGGCCCTGCGGTCGCGGTACCGGCGGCCCGGGCCCGTGGGCCCGGGTCCGGCCGGGTTCCGGTTCCGGTTCCGGTTCCGGTTCCGGTTCCGGTTCCGGTCCCGCCGCTCGCTGCCTGCCCCGGCCCCGCTCCGCAGCTCCGACCCCGCCGGGCTCCGCCGGGCCCCAGGCCACGCCCCCTCGGCCCTCCCCGATTGGCCGCCTCTCCCCACGTGACCGGAAACCTTTCTTCTTTATCTTCCCCTTCCTCCTCGCCATTGGCCGGCGGGTGGGCGGGCGAGCTGGGCGGTGACGTCACCACGCACAGCCAATCGCGGCGCGCCTTTTGCGGCTCGCAGCCAATCGGAGAGCTCCGGGGGCGGGGCGAGGCGTGCGGGAGGGGCGGAGCGGGCGCCGCCGCCATTTTGTCGCCGTCACCGACCCGGTGAGAGGCAGCGCGGGGCCGCGGTGAGCACGGGGGGGTCGGGGGGGGGCTGGGGGCGAGGCCGGCCCGATCCGGGCCCTGTGAGGGCCGCGGGGGCGGGAGGGGGAGGGGAAGGACCGAGGGAGGGGGGAGGGGAGGGACCACAGAGGGGATGGGGGAACGGGGGGGGAACGAGAGGGAATGGGGGGCTGGGGGGGGGCACGGGGGACAACGGGAGGGGATTGGGGGGAACGGGGGAGGCCCCGGGGGGGTCACGGAGGGAAATGGGGGAGGGAGGGGAGGGAAACGAGGGAGAATTTGGGGATGGGGGGGTTTGGGGGGGGATAGGGGGAGTGGGGGGGTTACTCAGGGGGATTGGGGGGCCGGGGGCATCGTGGGGGGACAGCGGGAGGGAGTGAGGGGTCACGGAGGGGAATGGGGGGGAAACGGGGGGTCACGGGGGGGAAATGGGGGAGAATTTGGTGGTAGGAGCAGCAGGGGAGGAATAGGGGGATGTGGGGAGGGACGGGGGGTCATGGAGCAATAGGGGAGCTCCTGAGGGGAGCGATCTGGGGGCTGAGCCCTTTCTGTGTGCGTTGTCCTGCCTCTGCTGACTCTCCTCGTCTGTTTTTTCCCCCCTTTGCCGCAGGCTGTCGAGATGGTGAAGCTGTTCATCGGGAACCTGCCACGGGAGGCGACGGAGCAGGAGATCCGCTCCCTCTTTGAGCAGTACGGCAAGGTGCTGGAGTGCGACATCATCAAGAACTACGGCTTCGTGCACATCGAGGACCGCACGGCGGCCGAGGACGCCATCCGCAACCTGCACCACCACAAGCTGCACGGCGTCTGCATCAACGTGGAGGCCAGCAAGAACAAGAGCAAGGCCTCCACCAAGCTGCACGTGGGCAACATCAGCCCGGCCTGCACCAACCTGGAGCTGCGGGCCAAGTTCGAGGAGTATGGCCCCGTCATCGAGTGCGACATCGTCAAGGACTACGCCTTCGTGCACATGGAGCGGGCGGAGGACGCGGTGGAGGCCATCCGGGGGCTGGACAACACCGAGTTCCAAGGTGACGCGCGGGCCGGGGCTGCGGCCCTTGGCTGGGAGTAGGTAGCGCCGGGCTGGGCCCGAGGCAGACGGTCAGGTAGGAGAGGAGGCGCGGGGCCGCCTGGCCGGGGGGGTCCTCGGCTCTTTCCTGCCGGTTCCGCGCTGTGGGGGGAGCTCCTGTGGCCGTGGGGCCGCATACTGGGGGGCTCTCTCAGGGTCTTCCCAACGGGGTGCCTGTGCGCAGCCCCATCAGGGAGCTGGGGGACCCCAGCTGGTGCCCCCGACCCAGTTCGGGGCTGCGACACGTAGACGTGGCGGATGCGAGCGGTGTGGTCGCTGCCTTCACTCTAACCCAAAACCAGGGAGTTTTGCTGCCTTTTCTCCCCGGAGCGCGATAGATTCGGTGCTGGCCCCATTCATGGGGGCCCAGGAGAACCCCGCTGGGGCCGAAACCTGCAGGTTCGGGTTGAATAAAGCGCCGAGAAGCGATGCCACGCGTGTCACTGCCTGGGCAGGGCGTCCCCTCGCTTCCTGGTACCGGTGCTGCTGTGGCCGCGTCCCGTTGCGCTCGTGGTCGCGTGTCGAGCTTGAGCGTGGTGCGGTGCTGCCCCGTGGTTGTGCTGCAGCTGGGGCCCGCTCCCGTGGGAGAGCGGGTTTGTGCCTCTCCGTTCTGCCAGCGGGCTGGAAACGGGGAGAAAAAGGGGAAAATAAAAATTAAATACACCGTGGGGTTGTCTGTCCCCGGGGCGCCGCGGTGTCATGAGGCTCTGAGCCGGCTCCGCACCCGCGCTTACCAGGTCGCTTCGGCCCTGTCCCTGTGGGACCGGTTGCAGGAGGAGAAGGAGGAGGAGGAGGAGAGCCCCCGGTGGCTA